TTACATGGTACATGGCACATAATGTAATTGTACATACTATCTGGAACTAATGTACTTTTACATGGTACATGGCACATAATGTAATTGTACATACTATCTGGAACTAATGTAATTTTACATGGTACATGACATATAATGTAATTGTACATACTATCTGGAACTAATGTAATTTTACATGGTACATGGCACATAATGTAATTGTACATACTGTGGAATACTTTATTTTCGCTGGAATTAATTTTCGCTGAAAAGGCTTTTTGGGCGTTTTGCTTGGAATTTATTTTCACTGATTTTTGATGAGTTTAATGTGAAATATAGGAAAAAAAGTACATTCGCTGGATTTTATTTTCACGGAATCACCCCTTCAGCGAAAATAGCGAAAATAAATTCCAAGCGAAAATAAAGTATTCTACAGTACTATCTGGAACTAATGTAATTTTACATGGTACATGACACATAATGTAATTGTACATACTATCTGGAACTAATGTAATTTTACATGGTACATGACACATAATGTAATTGTACATACTATCTGGAACTAATGTACTTTTACATGGTACATGGCACATAATGTAATTGTACATACTATCTGGAACTAATGTACTTTTACATGGTACATGGCACATAATGTAATTGTACATACTATCTGGAACTAATGTAATTTTACATGGTACATGACACATAATGTAATTGTACATACTATCTGGAACTAATGTACTTTTACATGGTACATGGCACATAATGTAATTGTACATACTATCTGGAACTAATGTAATTTTACATGGTACATGGCACATAATGTAATTGTACATATTATCTGGAACTAATGTACTTTTACATGGTACATGGCACATAATGTAATTGTACATACTATCTGGAACTAATGTAATTTTACATGGTACATGGCACATAATGTAATTGTACATACTATCTGGAACTAATGTAATTTTACATGGTACATGGCACATAATGTAATTGTACATACTATGCAGCACACCAAGCATGTACTTTCATGTAATGTGACACATCCGTAAGTCAATTATTTCAATGACGCCGTATGTAACATTCATACTAGATGTAATATGAGACTAACCCTTGAGCAGTTGTGGTGGTTGCTGCTGTTGTTGCTGGTATACTCAAAGGTTTAGATGCCAATGATAAACCTGTAGCTGTTGTGGTAGTAGCTAATCCACCTGAAAATGAACATTGTAATATGTAGTCTGGATTAGTTACAGATACTTGAGGTGAAAGCATTCCACCTATACAATCTTGAATACATTAGATACATCTACAAAATACATATACGGTTCACTTCTATATTCTATGCTGTCTTGTTATAGCACTTCCAATATGGTGATTTTTTGTTATTAACTCATAACAACCTACTGAAGGAGGTTAAAGGTTACAAATAAAAATTAATCAAATTACAATGGCTAATAGTTTAAAGGACAACCAAAAACAGACTAAATTGAAGTTAGTAATGGAAATATATAATATAATAAAATGAAACACCAACAAAAAACTATAAATATATACACATTGGATTAATATTATATTTATTCATGTTTTGGTTGTTGATTTAGTGTGCACATGTTGTTGATATCGCACCCTCATGTGGTGATTTAATACCCTCATGAACACATTAGACTAATATATTTTTGGTTATTGTTTTTTTGGTTATTGATATAGTGCCTGCATGGTGATATTGTACCCTGTATGGTGATATAGTGCCTGCCTGGTGATATTGCACCCCATATGGTGATATAGTGCCTGCATGGTTATATTGCACCCCGTATGGTGATATTATAAAATGCCCTGTATAGTAATACAGCGCCCCCATCTGGTGATATAATTGCACCTCTATATAGTAATATATACAGTTATACTGCACTCATATCATGATATATTGCCCCATGTGGTGATATAGCACCCCATATAATGTTATACTGCACTCATGTCACGATATATCGCCCCATGTGGTGATATAGCACCCCCATATAATGTTATACTGCACTCATGTCACAATATATTGCCCTATGTGGTGATATACCACCCCATATAACGTTATACTGCACTCATATCATGATATATAGCCCTATGTGATGATATAGCACCCCATATAACGTTATACTGCACTCATGTCACGATATATTGCCCCATGTGATGATATACAGTAGCACCCCCATATAACGTTATACTGCACTCATGTCACGATATATTGCCCTATGTGGTGATATAGCACCCCATATAACGTTATACTGCACTCATGTCACGATATATCGGCCTATGTGGTGATATAGCACCCCATATAATGTTATACTGCACTCATGTCACAATATATTGCCCTATGTGGTGATATAGCACCCCATATAATGTTATACTGCACTCATGTCACAATATATTGCCCCATGTGATGATATACAGTAGCACCCCCATATAACGTTATACTGCACTCATGTCACGATATATCGCCCCATGTGGTGATATAGCACCCCCATATAACGTTATACTGCACTCATGACACGATATATTGCCCCATGTCACATTGTGGTAATATAGAACCCCCGTATAACATTATACTGCACTCATGTCACGATATATTGCCCCATGTGGTGATATAGCACCCCCATATAACGTTATACTGTACTCATGTCACGATATATTGCCCCATGTGGTGATATAGCACCCCCATATAACGTTATACTGCACTCATGTCATGATATATTGCCTCCATGTGGTGATATAGAACCCCCGTATAACATTATACTGTACTCATGTCATGATATATTGCCCTATGTGGTGATATAGCACCCCATATAACGTCATACTGCACTCATGTCACAATATATTGTCCCATGTGATGATATAGCACCCCCATATAACATTATACTGCGCTCATGTCATGATATATTGCCCCATGTGGTGATATAACACCCCATATAACGTTATACTGCACTCATGTCACGATATATTGCCCCATGTGATGATATAGAACCCCCATATAACGTTATACTGCACTCATGTCACGATATATTGCCCCATGTGGCGATATAACACCCCCATATAACATTATACTCCACTCATGTCATGATATATTGCCCTATGTGGTGATATAACACCCCCATATAACATTATACTGCACTCATGTCACGAAATATTGCCCCATGTGATGATATAGAAACCAGTTTTGAAAAATATGTTTTCTAAAAATCACCGCAGGAAAAAAAGACTTATTACTCACCTAGTCCAAGTCCGCCGGCTGCAGTAGAGGACACTGCTGGAGTAGAAATACTTCCTAAACCAAGTCCATAACCTGTTGCTGGAGTAACACAGTAATAATTAGATACACATTAATTGTCCAGTTATTTAACACCAATTAAACTAACAGGTTATCATCTTAGAGCAAGGAAATCTGTTATATACTCAAACTGAATAGAGTGAATAACATTATTATTGCACATATACTCATTATTATGATTTAAGTGCGAAGACTGTCAACAAATATTTAGTAAAAAACATGTGTGATTTTCACATGGCAGCCATATTGAAAATGCTCAATTCTTATTTGGATATTCTGTATCTAAATAAGGTAGTTATGACATCTGATGCATGAGACACACACAAACTCACTTGTTGACAGTCCACCTAATGAGAGTCCTCCAGTGTTAGTTGTAGTAGCTGTCCCAAGAGATTGTACTCCTGATGATAGGGTGGAGAAGGCAGTTGATAGGCCTAGCCCACCAAGACCAGTAGAAGTGGTAGCTGTTCCCAGTGCTAGTCCGGTTGTTGCAGGGATTGTTGCAGTGGCTGAATATGGAGCTAGGAAAAAGAATTATAGCAAATTAGATACCAAACT